TACACCTCCGTCACATTTTGGGGACCCTGAGGCTGGTTTGGGGTCAGCTTTGGGTTCCTGGGGCTGCTTTGGGGTCAGGATTTGGGGCAGGTTTAGGATCAGGTTCAGGATCAGTTTTAGGGCATGTTTAGGGCAGGTTTAGGCTCAGTTTTAGGGTTTTTCTTGCCCAGGGATCATGCACATTACCCAGGACGCACAGGTGAGCATGGGGCAGGTTTAGGCTCAGTTTTAGGCTCAGTTTTAGGGTTTTTCTCTCCCCAGGGATCGTGCACATCGCGCAGGACGCACGGGTCAGCACGGGCCAGGACGGGTTCCTGGGGCACGTTTAGGATCAGGTTTAGGGTCAGGTTGAGGATCAGGTTCAGGCTCAGGTTTAAGGCAGGTTTAAGCCCAGTTTTAGGCTCAGTTTTAGGGTTTTCTCTCCCCAGGGATCGTGCACATCGCGCAGGACGCCCGGGTGAGCACGGGCCAGGACGGGTTCCTGGGGCACGTTTAGGATCAGGTTTAAGGCAGTTTTAGGGCTGGTTCAGGCTCAGGTTTAAGGCAGGTTTAGGGCAGGTTTAGGCTCAGTTTTAGGCTCAGTTTTAGGGTTTTTGTCCCGCAGGGATCGTGCACATTGCCCAGGATGCCCGGGTGAGCATGGGCCAGGACGGGTTCCTGGGGCAGCTTTGGGGTCAGGTTTAGGATCAGGTTTAGGGTCAGATTTAAGGCAGTTTTAGGGCAGGTTTAGGGTAGATTTAAGGCAGGTTTAGGCTCAGTTTTAGGCTCAGTTTTAGGGTTTTTGTCCCGCAGGGATCGTGCACATTGCCCAGGATGCCCGGGTGAGCATGGGCCAGGACGGGTTCCTGGGGCACGTTTAGGATCAGGTTTAAGGCAGTTTTAGGGCTGGTTCAGGCTCAGGTTTAAGGCAGGTTTAGGGCAGGTTTAGGCTCAGTTTTAGGCTCAGTTTTAGGGTTTTCTCTCCCCAGGGATCATGCACATCGCGCAGGACGCCCGGGTGAGCATGGGCCAGGACGGGTTCCTGGGGCTGGTTTGGGGGCAGGTTCAGGATCAGGTTTAGGATCCGGTTTAAGCTCAGGTTTAGGCTCAGTTTTAGGCTCAGTTTTAGGGTTTTTCTCTCCCCAGGTATCATGCACATTGCCCAGGACGCGCGGGTCAGCATGGGCCAGGACGGGTTCCTGGGGCTGGTTTGGGGGCAGGTTTAGGGTCAGACTTAAGGCAGTTTTGAGGCAGGTTTAGGGCAGGTTTAAGGCAGGTTTAAGCCCAGTTTTAGGCTCAGTTTTAGGATTTTCGTCCCGCAGGGATCGTGCACATTGCCCAGGATGCCCGGGTGAGCATGGGCCAGGACGGGTTCCTGTACTTTGCCAACGCCCAGGTCGGGGACAGCCACCCCGACTACATCTGCCACGCGCACTACCTGGGGCCGCGCACCATCATCCAGAAGGAGCCGCTGGACCTGCGCGTCAGCCCCAGTGAGGGACCCCAACACCCCCGGGGGACCCCAAATCCCAAACCCACCTTCAGGGACCCCAAAACCCATCCAGGGACCCCAAAACCCAAACACACCTTCAGGGACCCCAACACCCCCCGGGGACCCCAAATCCCAAATCCACCTTCAGGGACCCCAAAACCCATCCAGGGACCCCAAATCCCAAATCCACCTTCAGGGACCCCAAAACCTCCCCGGGGACCCCAAAAACCATCCAGGGACCCCAAAATCCCAAATCCCCCTCTAGGAAACCCCAAGACCCCTCTAGGGAACCCCAAAATCCCTCTAGGGGACCCCAAAACCCAAATGCGCCTTCAGGGACCCCAAAACCCCCTCCAGGGCCCCCCAAAAACTCCAAATCCCCCTCTAGGGCACCCCAAAACCCCTCCAGGGGACCCCAAAACCCATCCAGGGACCCTAAAACCCCTCCAGGGCACCCCAGAAACCCTCCAGGGTGCCCCAAAACCTCCTTCAGGGACCCCAAAACCCCAAATCCCCCTCTAGGGCACCCCAAATCCCTCTCCAGGGACCCCAAAACCCATCCAGGGGACCCCAAATCCCAAATGCACCTTCAGGGACCCCAAAACCCCCTCTAGGGGACCCCAAATTCCCCTTCAGGGCACCCCAAAATCCCAAATCCACTTTTAGGGCATCCCCAAATTCCCCTGTAGGGGACCCCAAACCCTAAATTCCCCTCCATGGGATCCCAAAACCCCAAATCCACCTTTAGGGACCCCAAAATCCCAAATCCCCCTGTAGGGGATCCCTGAACTCCAAATCCCCCTACAGGGACCTCAAAACCCCAAATCCCGCTTTAGGGGACCCCAAATCCCCTTTAGGGACCCCAAATCCCCGATCCACCTTTAGGGGACCCCAAATCCCCCTCTAGGGGACCCCAAATCCCCCTTTAGAGACCCCAAAACCCCCTTTAGGGAATCCCCAAACCCTCAAATCTCCCTTCAGGGGACCCCAGACCCTCAAATCTGGGGGGGCACTGTGTGTGCCCCGCCC